ATGCTGACACTGCAAAGCAACCATTGATTGTTGAGAAAATGAGGAACTGGCAAACTCATCTTGAAGATGGGAATATAATTTTCTGTAGGAATTTCGATTTCCCTTGAACGTGTGATGTGTCTTTGAAACCGAAATGACCCATGAGTCTGCTTTTTAGGTTTTTTGGTAGGAACACTGAGGCACAAGTTCACTGTAAAACATCAAAAGTAGAGTCATGTAGGAGCCTTCTTGCCCTTGGAACAGAAAGTATGCAATCAGGACTGTCACATGCGCCTGGTCTCAAAGGTTAAGCTTCAACATTTCCAAAAATGTCTTGAAAACCGGATTGACAAAAGAAAGTGTACGGGCAAAGATTGTTCAACTTCTCACTGACTTAAAAGCAGGTGTCCAGTGCTTCCTGAGATTATTCCACTTAGTTAGCACTATTGAGATGGTAAATAAAGTGGGGTAGGTAGTGTGTAATGTGAAATTTGGTTCAACTGTGTGCAAGTCTGGTGTAATGACACATTACATCTTGTAGTTACTTTACACCAAATCAACTGCACACCATGAGGTGCTTTTGAACTGTTGCGGGCTTGCCCGCATGTTCTCTAGTGGATCAAATATTTGGAGTTTCACAAGGAAATGTAACAAAGGATGTTAAATCAACAGATCAGGGAATAAGTACAAGGTAATCATGGTTATACACCTTTTACTTTGTGGTTGCCGTGTATATTCATTAAACTTTTTTTCGAACCTTTCATTTTGAATGATTGGTTTTTGTTGAGGTACAATTTATGTTGAATTACATGATATCTTGTAAAAGAGTCAAGATTTTAATAACCAGTTGAGGATGAGGAAGGGGCAATTGGTGAAACCATCAAGAGGACCAAAAGGGTACCTTAATTGTACTCTGGCCAAGGTTTTTTGTAATTAGCATGTCTATTCCTTCATGCTTTAGTTCTTCCCAACAAACCCACCGGGTTGGCTGCCAGTTGCTACTTTGTTTCCTCTGAGTCTGATGCTGTGGGATGGTACATTGTTTTGTATTACCTGCTGTTTGTGCTTCAACACAACTTAGGGAACAAAGTGGACCTTGCAACCAAATTGAGGTTTGCACAAATTATACACAGGGGCAAAAATAGATACTCACATACATGTGAGCGTTGTAGACTTTTTGGAATTCTCCAAAAAAGATTCATTTTCTTTCAGATTGATTCAATTCACAATCTTGTTTGTGTTCAGGTGATCATCCTGTGGTTCTCATATTTTACTTGACATTTATTGAGAAGGCTCATTTCCATCTTGGATGAGCAATAACTGATTCCCGATGAGTACTCAGGATCAGCTCATGAGGCACTGAATACTCAGCAATTTGTTCAAAATGAAGATGAGCACATGAACTATACCTTCCTGAGGCTTCATTTTTCAGTGAAGAAGCCTGCCCAGGGGGGTCCCATTTGAGCTGCTCAGCAAATACTCAGTAGCATCCCCTGACTGGATCACTGATGGGCCGGACTTTTCTCAGACTTCCTTGCTAAGGAATGAAGCCTGATAAAAGCGTCATCCCATCTGCTCATTGCTCAGCTAATCCTCAGTGATATCCCCGGATAAAGTTTTTCACACTGAGGGGCTGAGATCAACTGAGCAGCCCCTCAGCCAATACTCAGTGACATCCTTTGGATCCTTCTGATCCGGCCAGGAATGCCCCTGAGGACTAGCTGAGCAGGCCCTCATCCAATGAGCAGTGAAATCCTCCGGATCCTCCTGATCTCAGGGATTCCCCTGAGGAATAACTGAGCAGCCCCTCATCCAATGAGCAGTGAAATCCTCCGGATCCTCCTGATCTCAGGGATGCCCCTGAGGAATAACTGAGCAGCCCCTCATCCAATGAGCAGTGAAATCCTCCGGATCCTCCTGATCTCAGGGATGCCCCTGAGGAATAACTGAGCAGCCCCTCATCCAATGAGCAGTGAAATCCTCCGGATCCTCCTGATCTCAGGGATGCCCCTGAGGAATAACTGAGCAGCCCCTCATCCAATGAGCAGTGAAATCCTCCGGATCCTCCTGATCTCAGGGATGCCCCTGAGGAATAACTGAGCAGCCCCTCATCCAATGAGCAGTGAAATCCTCCGGATCCTCCTGATCTCAGGGATGCCCCTGAGGAATAACTGAGCAGCTCAGTTGAACAAGCAGACGGGCCTCAGGCTTCATTCCGGAGCCATGAAGCTTGAGGCAAGCTTGAGGCAAGCTTGGTGCTCTGTGATCCATCTGGGGGATACTTCAGAGACTTAGCTAAGGGAATACTCAGTTCAGCTCAGCCCCTAAGCTATACATTGGTGGCATCCCTTGGAACTTACTGAACCAGGGAATGCCGCTCAGGATCAGCCCTTCCTCAGACTTCTTTGCTCAGGAATAAATGCTGAGGAAGGCTTAGTTTGTCTGCTCAGTTCCTGATGATCACGTAATCAGCTGACAAACAGAAAGAAAAGGGAAACAAATGGGAAACAAATTGGAAACAAATGGGAAACAAATGGGAAACAAATTGGGAACAAATGGGAAACAAATGGGAACAAAACAGGAACATTTCAACGCTCACATAGTTGTGAGCATCAATTTTTGCCCCTGTGATAGATGTTGACACAATAAATAACCGGTAGTATTGATATACAAGTTCTTGTTTAAGTAATAGTTTTATAGACATTTTACCTGTTGCGGGCATGCCCGCATGTTCTCTAGTCATACAAAAAGTACAGAAGGAAGCTTGGCCGTTCATAGCGACCACAAGCTCACATAACCAAATCATCTATTGGGCCAGTTTACCCATGGAAGTATCAAACATAGCAAAGGTGTTAGATGTGAAAGGGCCATTACGTTGAGAGAGATGAATGACTTTTTTTATTGAGCCTTCCTGCTTGTCGCGAAAAAATGCTGAGATGGCAGCATTGCGAATAAAAAAATAAAATAACCTAGCAAATAAGGATGACAATGAAACATAAGACTGAGAGACAGAAAAGTATAAAGGCCATTGGATTCCATGCAAAGTTCAACTCCTAATAAACATTATGATCACTTTGTTAGTTTGAAAAGGAAGTGAAGTGATCAAACCTTTCGAACGCCGTCAATGACAAGTACACTGATGGACACTTTGTCAGTCTTAGAATCCTATAATTAGAAGGAAGAGGAGATTGATTGCTGTTATGACATTTACGTAACTTTATTCCCTCAGACATTTTGGAGCAACTACACAGTATCTCTTATCTTCACTGAAAATCAAATTGATGAGGACCTTATAATGTGGATTGACCTGTATGATCCGACAAGCTTACTGCATTTTCCGGATATCGTTTTGTTTGAAGTTTGAACAGCTTTCTGCCTTGCGAGGGGAAGTGACAAAAACACACTCTCACTTGATAGGGTATGATAATTCAAGAACCACAACTCATGTTTCCAATCTCCGGTAAATCATCGTATCGCTTCATGAAAGGAAAAACTGACGAATCATCCTCAATCATTCTCAATGTGGATCTTGAGCGATTCTAGCTAATGTGGAGCTGATTTCCAAGTGAGGGTTACCTTCAAGACTTATAAGAGCGTTATGGAGTAAACGAAGTATGTAGAATAGGTTTGAGTTGATTTCACTGATGGTAAGCTATCGTCGATCACTTTCAAGTGAAGTTTTTCGGGATAATTCTAAACAAAAAGGACAGCAAATGGTAAAGAGAAGTGCTGGGTTTTGGTATCCCGACTGAATTATGAGCCTCAATAGTCTTGAGGGGGTGTGTTGGAGAATGGTATTCTCGAGTGATGTTTCAAGTCTATTAAGGCTGTAGTTTATTTAGACCAATCCGGTAAGAAGGAAAGGTGAAGAGGTTGTGAAGGCTTAAGTAACATATCAATTCAAGAGGAGGATTAAGGAAGGATGTCCGCTTTTGGTTAGATTAAAAGAGTTTTGTTTAAAAGTTGTTTCAGTAATTGTTTTACGTTGTGTTTGTTCAAAATGTGTCCTGGTTGCTTTTCCCTTATCAACCCCCCCTCTCTCCCTTCCGAATCTTTTTCCCCATCGAGGAATTAGATTTTGAAGGTGAGAGTCTTACAAACATTTTTCCCTTATACAAAACCATTACTAAAAATTAACTTTGTTCTTTTACATACTCTGGTTTCTTTTTCTTTTAATCTTTCTTTCGTCTTTACTTCTCTAGTTTTTCTTTACCTTTATATCTTCCTCGCAACCTCGTCAGGTTCGTCTAAAGGAGTTTAGCACTCACTTTCATCTGTCAGCCCGTGTCTCGTCAACACCAGGCTAAGTGTCTTTTACACCTTTTTAAAGGTTAGTAGTTATTATTGTGTGTGTGATATGATCATCGAGGAATTAGATTTTGAAGTTTTTCTTTACCTTTATATCTTCCTCGCAACCTCGTCAGGTTCGTCTAAAGGAGTTTAGCACTCACTTTCATCTGTCAGCCCGTGTCTCGTCAACACCAGGCTAAGTGTCTTTTACACCTTTTTAAAGGTTCGTCTAAAGGAGTTTAGCACTCACTTTCATCTGTCAGCCCGTGTCTCGTCAACACCAGGCTAAGTGTCTTTTACACCTTTTTAAAGGTTTCTGTCGTAGATCAACAGCGTCGAGCTTGTTTTCTTACAAAATCTCGTATCAGATAAGAGCTGAAGGGTAAATTCAAGAATGCAATATGATTCACAAATTGGACTCGACATTGAGAGATTTCCTAAGATTCTTTGTAAACGAGTCTTCTATGATTCGATTCAGATTGGCTCATCATAGATTTGATTTGATGATATCTTATTCCCGCTCGGTTAAGCTCGCTGACTATCTTAATTGTTTCTACCTTGCATTCGATTCAAAGTGCATCTTCTTCAAATCTTGAACCTTGATTGATCACATCTACAAGTTAACCCCTTAACCCTTTCAAAGCCTTCTTTATCTCAATTTCTAGCATTCCATCTATCATATATATATATACATCTCTTTGATATTGATTCATATCGACAAATCAAACAAGATGAACTCCATTCAAGGCATGCTCTCACTTTTGCTTCTCACCCTCCCATTGGCATTTACAGCCAAACATATACCATGGTTTCAAATCGATAATCTTTTTGAAAAACGTCAATCTACTTTAACTTTACCTGACTGCGGCCAGAATTGTTATACACTAGCTTTACCTGATATAGGAACATGTGCTGAGGTAAATCATTCTCCCCTTTCCCTCTAATGAAGAAGGGACAGCGTGTTTTTGTTGACTGATTGTGATTGATTTGATCTATCCGGTTTTTCAAAGACTGATACAGCATGTCTATGTGAAGATGAAAGCTTTATGGATACTGCTCAACAATGTTTTCAAACCGCTTGTGGATCTGAAGATATAGGGATCATTATTACTCTAGGTCAACAGGTATGAATGGAAACTTTTCAATCTTGATTACCTTTTTTTCATCCACTTGAACCATTGAAATGCATTATCATAACTGATGTTGCGGTTATATCATCTTTAGACATGTAGTTCGCTCGATGCAAACTTTTTTCAGATCAATGGGATTACTGATGATTTGGTTTTACCGGCTGGAGATGGAATCACTCGAACTTCACTCTTTTCATCATCTTCGACACCTGTGGTGACCGCTACTTCTACGGCTCAAATTAATACTCCTACTAGTACTGCTGCACTTTCTTCAGCCACCTCATCATCCACACCTATCGATTCTACGACTTTAAGTTCTGATAGACCTGTAAGTGATCTTCTCTCTTTTTCTTTTTCTTTATCTTCTCATTCATGTAAACACATTCTGACCTTTTTGTCCCTTTCGTTGTTTTCTGATTTTAGTTATCTACAAATCAACCCCTTCCACCTTCAATTTTTTCAGCAGCTACTTCTATACTTTCTTATAATTTATGTCACTTTATGATCTTTGCTTTGGTGGCTGCTTACTTGTTTTGAACATTCGGTCAGAAAGAGACATCAGTCATGTATAGTTCTTTTATTATCTTTGTAAAGATATAGTGTATTATCTTCAAATTCGATTGCTTTAATGTTCTTGATGTTTTACAGATGTTGGACACTGCCACGCCAACACCAGAACCGCTCCGATACGCTATGGATTTCAACCCATTTTGGTATCGGAGCGGAGTAACTGCTATGAGATCACCGATACTTGACCGATATTTTTTTTTAAAAAAATATCACAAGGTATCGGAGCGGAAGGTATTTTACCGCTCCGATACCGCTATATATCGCTGCTATAAGGGCTAAAAGGCATATTGAAGTGCCCTCAGACCCTTCCCATATCGGAGCGGTCAGACCGCTAATGGTTTTCTCGCCTTGGGATGGCGGAGCGGAGCCACCGCTACGTATAGTGGTCAATATAGTGGTGTAAAAACCGCTCCAATACCGCTCCGATACCGCTATATGTTGCGGAGCGGTTCTGGTATTGGCCACGCATTACTATCAGTTTTAATCCACCACAGTGATAACCCTTGGGTATTAGGAGAAAGACACAGGTTGGCTTCTGAATTCAGTAATCATAGTTCATGTTATCTGAATCAGCGTGAGAATAGCATGCAAGGTGAAACTACTGAAAAGGGCTAAGCTTTTTTACGTAGAATGATCCAAAGAAAATGATGAAAATTTCTTGAAATTCAATCCCCTCGTTGCCTTGACCTTAGCTCACATGTCAGCATGGGTATGTATGCAAAAATTTCAAAAAAGGGGTAACTGCGCGTCTTGGTGGCACTGGCGTGTTAGGCCGAAAAGATAAGGAGAGGCTGGTGGAAAAACTGTATCCAGAATACCAAGGGAACTGTGTGTTGTCTCAGGTTTGGCGGGTTTTGTGGTTTTAGTCTGATGTGGTATGGGAAAAAACTGCTTGCTAATCTTTTCTACTAATGTTGGGGATTCTGAATAAGTACCGGACTCCCCCTGCGGGGACGTTATGGACATCCCCTCGTTGCTGTTCCTAGCTTCCCCCAGTGAGTCCACGTCAGGGATCTTTGAGGGTGTTGGTGGTGCAGACGACTCTGCGATGGCAGAGGCAGAGATGAGTTTGGAGTCGTGCACTGTGGTACGTGCCCAGTCGATCTTGTGGTGGTTGGCTCGTATCCACGGGATACCTAGGATTCCGTCATAGGTGTTCTTGAGGTGGACGATGATGAAATGTGTCGTGTAAGTGTTGTGGTCGAGGTTGAGGTCGATGTCGTGAGAAGAGCTGGTCCTTGATCCATCGAATCCAGTGGCAGCTCTTGAGTTGTTTGTCGCGTAGGGTAGCAGGCCTGCCTCTAGGGTGAAGGCTTCACTCAACATTTTTTTTTATGCATTGCTTTAAGTGCCTCCTGAGCCAAAGGCTAATGCTCTTTTGTGCTCTGCCCCAGTAAAAACCCCTGTGGGGAAAAGGTCACGTGCTGGCTGTTTAAAGTATTACAAGTGTTATGTTGGATACAGATGGTGGCGCTAAAGGATATGGTCTTATATAGAGGGAATAGAGAGGTTGACGGGAATGTTCTCGTCACTGATTTTTGCCCACACCCATTGGCTCTTGAGCCGCCAGGTAGAGTTACAGTATTTTGAAATGCATTCATAAGCTTTCAGGATCTTGAATGTTGTGTGTGGCGCCCGAATAAATCAAGAAATGAGTGTGGGGGCTCTCAGATGGTGTGGCTTGGGGTTTGTGGGACAGGGATAATGAGGCAAGTAAAAAAATGTGTGAATCATTTAGATTGCACTTTACAATTTTATTTGCCCCTAAGTCTACTGAATTCACAAAACCCCCTTTGCTCAAGCTTGGCACAGCCTTCAGGATTGAGCGCCTCCATTTTTTGACAAGTCAGCTCTGCCAGATCCTTCTCCATGATCTCCTCCCAATTCATCTCCCCCCCCATAGCTGCTAACTTCACTTCTAACTCAGCCAATCATGCTTTGTAGTTCCCCTTCCCTTTTGAATTACGGTCAGGTTGGCGGATTGGACAGTTTGTGGATATGTGCCCTTGAGTGTTGCATCTGAAACAAGAACCCGCGCGCATGTGTTGAGCTTGTTCATCTGAAGAGAGTCTGGTGTAGGTGGAGGATATATCCATAGCATTCGGGTTGCGTGTCTGGGTGGTTATGGTCGTCAAGGTGTCAGCAGCGCCGTGGATCTTGTTGTTGAGTTTGATGGCCAAATTTGATATTTGCTCAATTTTCTTGAATTCCTCCTGTACTAGTACCATGGCCACTCTGATTTTGCGTTTAAGGCCTTGCTTGTATTGACTGATCAAAGTCAGGGTCTCCTATCCGGTACTAGAGGCATGTAAGTTGAATTTGTGCGTATACACAGCAACAGTCAATTTTTGGGTCAATGATCAAAGTGCCTTTTTGGCCTTTGCCTTCTTTTTGGTGTCAAAGAACATCACCTTGAAGTTACACACAAATTGCTCAAACGCAACAGTATGGGCTGTCCCCTGGTTGAAGATCTCTGCCGTGAGAGGCTGAGCCCACACGCTTGCGGTACCCGTTAGGTAAGGCAGTGAAAATACAACCTTACTACAATTGTCAGGGAAGAGATACAGGTGTGCCATCATGTATAGCTGGATCTGACTAGCAAACACCTCTGCTGGTCCTCCACGAGTCCCGGCAAATTTATCCGGCGTAGCAACCTTAGGTCCCTTTAGGACAGCTTGTACATCAGGCTGATTAGGATTAGGAGCTGCAGTCGGTGCGACGTTGGAATTGGCAGCATGACCACCTTGCATAGCTGTGAGACGTTCTTCAGCTTGCCGGCTTCTAGCCTCAGCTTGGTGGCGCAGTAATTGTTCTTCCGTTAGCAAACCTTGGAGCTCTGTGAGCCGGCGTTGGATATCTGCCATGGCGTCTGAGCTGGCTTCGGGATTCATTCCGGTAGCAGGAGGGTTTAGGGTGGGAAGGTTCAAGAGATGTGGTGTAGCTTCAAGGGCAGTATGGGTTGAATCACTGTCTGATCCGACGTCGTTGGCGGGGATCCGGTATGAAGGAGACATTGTAGCTAAAGTTCAATTCTGATAGGGTTTGGTCTTCTTCTTACCCTTCAATAAAGTTTGTTCAATAAAGTTTGTTTGGTGTTCAATCTTTGATTATGAATCAGTATCCAGTTCTTTGGTGAATCTGGAGTTGATGCGGGTCAATTCAGTTTTCAATAAGGTTCCAATTGGTATCAATCTAATTTTAAAGTTTTCTTTCCATGATTGTCAAAGTTTCACTCTTGAGTCTGATTTCCTAACACCCGTCAATGGTTTAAGATACAACAATATGTTGAGACTGTCACTTGGGTTCTGGGACGGGGGTTGAGGCTCTGGTCTATCAACAGTCTAGCTTGGTATAGTGATTGTTGTATGAGAGAAAAGAGAAAAGTTGAACAACGGGAATGTACAAAGTGGTTGTTCTCTAGTCTGTGACACATTGTGAAAGCCTGTCACAAACCCAGTTACATGTAAATCATATCATAAGAGCATCCACAATTGTTGGGTTAAGTGGCAGGGATAGCTAACTATTTAACTCACCAATCCATCTCTATTACACTCGGGTTAGATTAGCCCGTCTATTATCTTATTTGTATTTCTCTTTCCTCCAAACACAGACCATGCTAACATGACCTACAATCAACCAGGTACATGCTAGGGTGGGGGGGCTTCTTCGGGGGGGAGGCCTCGACGAATCCGTTGCAGGATCAGCCTGGACGGATAACCCCCGGGGTCGGCCTACCCAGAAGCCCAACAGACCTGTGAACACCGGAGAGTCCGGTCCTAGCCTAGGGAGGTGGGAGGGTCAAAAAGAAAAATTCTTGAGAGAGATATGTGAGAGGTAGAGAAATTTTCACAACGGCTAGAGAATGTAGAGTGTGATCTTCTGCGAGTGCTAGGGAGAAGTGGACTGAAGCTTGAAAATCTTCAATCTTGAAGCGCCACTTCTTCCCCGCGGATCACCTCCCCTGTCACTAGATTGTTACATGGGAAGACTCTACCCTTCTGTCACCCTCCTTTCACGCCTATGGAAACTCTCCACACGCCGTTCCATTGGTGTGAATTCAACATTTTGAAATTTCCACAATGGTCAAATTTTCACCGATTGTTAGTTAGCTTTGCGACAAAGACACATTAGCTAACTCACAACAACACTCAATCAATCCTCCCGTGTCTCATACCTCAATACAAATCCTCAAATTTGACTTTGATTTTCATCCAAATCTCAACACACCTCACTCCCATTTTTGTTCATGATCAACATCACTTTGATCCTCTTCTTCAACTAAAACTACAACTACAACTTCCACCAACACTCCCTTCAACCCTTTCTTGACTATCAAATCATTCATCATTCATCTCAATTTTCACAATGTTACACTTTCTGATATTGACTTCGATCTCCGCTGTCCATCATGATTCTTCTCTACCCACCATTCATTCTAGCATTAATGTATCTAGATTATTAATCTTACAGTGTTGATGTAGCTCTGCAACAATGAATTTGTAGACATGATGAGGCAAGACTGAAAAGTGACAACTCAGATTTATGTTGATTGATCATGATCATACAGGATACAAGGCCAACACCGGAACAATTCAAAAAGCTGACCCCTAATGATAAGGAAAAAGTTGACAATATGGTGATTTTTCAGATATTGAGCGTGTGAGCAATCAAAAAGATGAGTCCGTGCTTTGCCTGATTTTGAGGACTACATAGCTCCAAGCTAAAGCTGACAACTGTGGGCCAAGTCTGTAACTTGGAGTTTATGTCTTGTTGACTTCAAGTTAAAGACAACAAATGTGGAATTTGGGGTTAGTTAACTTAACCCCGGCTAAAGATCTGGAACTTTAGCTTAGCTAAAGCCAAATTTACCGCAAACAATTGCGGATGCTCTAACACTTATAGTGATCAGCCTGACTATTGTGATAGATCTGAGCAATTTGAATCATGTTGCTTTAATTAGACAGAGA